AAACACATACACAACCCAAAAGATAATCAAATGTTCAAATTATTGTTCATGTTTTGCATTATAAATTGAAGTATACAATACAACATGTAATTAATCATCAGCTCAAAATTCAAATCCAAAGTTGGAGAAAACAAAAACTTAGTTTTGACTCCACAGTGATAACAAGACCCTTGCTTCCCCATCTCTTTTTCTTTTTTTTTCTTAATAATTTCACAACAATAAGAGATTTTTACGATACTGAGTTTTAAGATTATTTGTTACTATTGAGTAGACAAAAAAAATTGGGAATTGAGAAGTTTCTGTGCGAAGAAAAACCCAGAATTTTTTTTTCTTTTTTTACAGAAACCAATAAAAACGGTGAGGAAGTTATTTCCAGTGTGGAATCGATTGCAAAAAAGGGATCGGATTTTGGTTTTGGGGAACGGTTTTGGTTTTGGATCGGATAATCTCGTACTAATCCGGTTAAAAAGCTTTTGAATGGTTAAGTAATGATTTAAAAACAGTAAACCAAGTATTAAACCATCTTTGTGGGTAAATAAACATGAAACTTTTATGTGGTGGTGATATACACATTTAACTTCTAATTGGTGGAGATATACGCATTTAACTTTTAGTTCATGGAGATATATACAGAGGGTAACATTTGGGAGACAAATACGCATGTATCAAAGTTTTGGTGGGGAAATAGACAGTTTTTCCGTCAAAATCATTGCTCGTGTTTGAAAGAATAGAAAAAAAAAGGTAAAAGTATTATATAATTTTTCACTTTTAATTTCTACTTTCGAATAATGAATAATGTATATTCTAATAATAGACGGTTGACAAAAAAAAGTATATTCTAATAGACTATGTATATTATTTTGCTACTTTATTACTTGCATACACTGTTTGTATACGCAAAATAACATACAAAGTATATTTATATGATTATTCATAAAATATCAAAAAACTTTTAAGATAAAGAGGTGCAAACAAAATGGGACCCATCTAAAGATGTCACCACCAATCAAAACTACACAACAAAAAGAATAAGATAATTTTTACTCAGTATATTATTAAAACTCAAGAGTCAAGACAAAAGAAGACTAGACACAAGATTTGACGTAAAAAAGACAAGACACAAACTACACAACAAAAAATGTTGGACAACCCTGACTCAATATTATCACATTGACAAAAACATCATCCAATAAAGATGAAGCACGTAAAAGCAAAACAGACATCAAACATGGCTTCAATAATTCAAGACTTCTTCAACTCCCCCCATAAATAGTTGTTCCCGGATTCATTCAAGGGACACGAGCAATTTTTGTAATCTCTCTCTCAAAACTTTCTAAAGCTGTCAAAATCTTTAAGTTTCAAATTCTGTAATTTTTTAATTTTAATTTGTTTACGTAATAATTTGTTTTTCAAAAATTTAGTATAATGACTTTGTAATATCCATATAAATCAATAAATTGTTTAGCCCATAAAAACAGTAAAAAACGTTTTAAGAAAAAAAACAACTCAACAACTCACACATAATGAAATCACTAGTGGGTATCCCTTATATATTAGTTGGAGAGTGATTTGCTTATTGCTTATGTGTCTTCACCAAAATTACTCTCACCAAAATTACTCTCACAAATTAAATGTGACATGGCATTCTAACCCATTAATTCATAACTAAATTAGCCCAAACTCATTAAAAAAATCGGCCAACATAAATTATTAACCCAATTATCCAACACAATTAAACATAATCTTCACTATACATAAGGGATCACGGCCATAATTATTATGATATCAATTCAATTAACCCAAACTCATTAAGAAAATAGGGCCAACATCAATTATTAGCTCAATTATCCAACACAATTATCCAATTTTTTTAATATCAACTCAATTTGCTCTCAAATTGTTTTTTTCGATTTTCTTGTTTTTTTAATTTTCTTAAAAATGGAATTTCCATCAAAGGTAAAATGAAATTTTTTCCGTTTGATCAAAATGTCTTT